AGTGTTGTAGTCTCCTAAGCCTGCAGTACACAATAGATATGTCTAGCTTGCTTCTGGCACCAATAGTCCATATCCAAGCTCTGGATTTATGTGAACACTTAACTTTGAGGATAAAAGGAGGAAGGAAATTTGATAAGTTTTCATCTTGTTAGCCCTGTGTCCTGATATAGAAGTTTGGCTGGATCAGTTAAAAAGTGTTCACACAATATCTCTGGAATTCTAGATGCATGTCCAGTGAGAAACAGATGTCACTAGAATGATAGGACAGAGCTCAGCAAGGACCCGAACCTCTAGAGAGATCTGAGAGAGTGGCCGGTGGCCGTTTTCCTGCAAAGCAGGCTAGAAGCAAGTTGTAAACCCAGATGAACCACCATAAGCTGCCTTGCCTGTTGCCTCAGTATCCCCTCCAGCTCTGAAATGAAGATACTGCTATCAGTGAAAGGAAGCTTTGCAAATGTCACATATGGGAAGTATTGCCTACACCCATAATATACTCTTGTGACAATGATCTGGGAATTAAAGGGGCTGTGTGACCACTTCTTCAGGTCCCAGCTGTGGGTGCTGACTGTAAGAGGCTGCTGTAGTACTGGGCATCTTCTCCCCTAGAAGAATTGGAAAGAAAAGGAAGAGAGATGGGTGGGGACCTTGTTCCCTAGATATGAAAGAGAACACACTGATAGCTTGGGCAAATTCATAGCTTGAAAGACTAAGTGGTTGGAAGCCACCTTCAGTTGTCAGGGAGAATCATATCTCATTCAGCAAGGTGATTCTTCTGTAGTTAGCAATTGGAATTCTTTTCTTTTTGATAAACTATATTGTAAAAGCAAGAACCTGTTCTGTGGAGTTTTCTCCACAGAAGATAAACTAGTCCTGAGTTTTATTTTTGTTTGTTTTGAGATAAGGTATTGCCCTGTAGGCCTGGCTGATCTAGTACTCACTGTGTAGCCCATGCTGGCCTTGAACTCTCGACATTTTTACTGCTTCAGCCTCTCATGTGCTAGGATTAAAGGTGTGCCTTACCACACCCTGATTGGTGTTTGTTTTGTGTCATGTTGGTTTTTTTGACCTAATCCATACCAAAAGCACTTCCTCCAGGAGGAAGGAGACTTTCTAGATCTTTACTCTGGTTTTCTCTGTACTCCACAGGACTGTAGACTTCTGACACTTGTCTTCTGGGTATCACAGGAGGGCAGGACCAGAAAAAGACAAATCCCAGACCTCTGCAGACCCACAGACCAGCATGGATGACTTACACACACACACACACACACACACACACACACACACTCACACACTCACACCTTGTCTGCTTTGTGAGGTGGGAGGCAGGAATAGGAGCTCAGAAAGGATGGCATCAGCACCTACCCAGCCTACAAGAGGGTCCAATGGCCAGTTTCTCTATAACATCTGCAGCGTTACAGAATCAAGTCTCCCAATCTCACCCTTAGACTCCAGGAGGATGGGGGAGCTAGAGGTCCTTCTGGCTCCCAACCATAACTTCAGGCATCAACAAAACCATAAGGTTTGACTTCAGTGGTCTCCTTACCTCTGATTTGAGGTTTCTCAGTTTCAGACATTTTCTTCCACAAAACTGCAGCACCTCATGCAATACCCCAATAGTGAGGTCCCTTCTCATCTCAAGATAGGTGTCAGCAAGGCCACACCACAGAGCACTATTCCCATCACTAGACATTTATTCCTTTCTCCTCTCTCATCACATTTATCTTCCAGTCCCTCTAAGCTCTTGTGCCTAAGTAAGTTGCTAATAACTTCACAAAGCACACAGGAGAAAGTGAGTTCTGAGGTCTATTCATGGCTACTTTTTGCATGCAAACCCCCTTCCCAGCCTCCCAACACAAACACATGCTATCACATGCACAAGATGGGAGCTGGGGTCTATGGTCAGATAAATTTGCGTAAACCTGGATTGAACAGTTAATAGCCATCAATATAAAATATAGCTCGCACTTCACAGGGAATAAGAGATAGTTTATTTTGGAGCCGTATGTGAGTAGCAAGGCCTGGGAACATGGATTCAGCTTGCCCCCAGTACCAAGTTTTTATAATTCAGAGAAGAAGAAAGTCAGAAGTCAAGGTACTTTTCAAATGCATTGGTGAGAGCATCAGACAGGCAGGTCGTGAGGAAACATTGTGCAGGGTAACATTCAGATGCTGTCTGGCGGCACCCTTGGCTTTTGGCCTGTAGAGGTTAGTGATTTGTTATTGCATCCCCAAAACTACATTTCACATGTAGTCACAATGCTGTTAGGTCAGATACAGAGGTGGGAAGTGGGTAACTATTAGGAGAGCTAAAGACATCCCAAGATAATTTGACTCTGGATCTGCAACATTCCAGTTCTCTACAATCACATAATGATAATCAACCTTATAGAATCTTTAACATAGGTTTGGGTTTTTTCATGGGAATTTCATTTCATTCAGCTCTCTCTTTCTGCAGGACTTCTCAGGGCCTTTGTATATTCTGAGTCTCCCAGAGGCCTGTGCAGGAGGTAGCTGTTTTTCCTGAGGTTCTCCCAGGCCACAGGAACAGATCATTCAGGAAAGAATATCTGTGATCTCTTTCCTTCATTCCCTAGAAGAGTTTGGACTCTGGCAGTGCAGAATCAGGCAGGCCAGTAGGTGGGGGTGTTTCTCTGTAGCAGGTGGACTGCTCTGCATGCCACAGAGCCAGTAGCCGCAGAAACAAAGCCTAGGCTTAGGACATGTGCTCCTCAGCAAGGCACAGTCCAGAGGATATAGTCTTGCTTGGTCCCTGCATTCAGGACATTTTATGCAGTGCATAGCAGATTCACATATTGCTGGATCTGATCTGGGTGATTTAAAACAAATTTTTTTTGGTCCCAATGTATAAGAAAATATCTTCAGTAGATATAGGTCCTACTTTTAAAAAGCTATACATAAAAGCTCAAATTAATAAAACTTGTGTACTATGCATACTAAAAGGAATTTATTTTATGTTGGTACATCATCAGATTCTAGAAAAGGGCTTGTTTGGCTAGATGCTGGTCTCTAGTTAGTTGAAGGGCTAGTTACATGGAAAGCAACTTTTTGCATTATTTTTAGTGTTCCTGCCTTTGGTGTGACCTGTGCCATGGTCTCAGGTATTGAATTTTCTAAATGTAAGCATTCAAAAAGCTTCCAGTTTTAGACTTAGGGGTTAGAGAGCTTGTGTATAATGAAGAATTATACACCAAGTAAATGATGCCCAGAGGGTCAGCCAACTGACCAGCCTCATTGGCCCTGAGGTATACCCAAGAGCAATGCCCTTTACAGCCTCCTGGTTGTTAAGCACAACTAGTTGGTGACACCCTTAGCCCCACCCCCACCCCCAAGATCCCACGAATGTCTGCAAGAGGCAGCTGTCCCTTAAACATTGTATTGGGTATTTGAAGTCCCTCAAGAGGGAGGTTTTCTTTGTGGAGCTGTGGAACTTGTGGCCCAGATGCTGCTTCTCATTTGTTGTTTTGGAACCATTCAGTGGCACACGCCTTGACGTATAGATGTGAAGAAACGGCAAAGACATTTTGAATAATACATCAATCAGGCCATTGCCACAGAGGAAAGAATGCAGAAAAATCCAGATCTAAATGTTAAGTTCAAATATAAACATGTTTTCAATAATACTTAAACTGTGAAGGATAGAAAAGGATCTCAATCTGCTGTTTCTAGATAGAAGTCTATTTACCTACACACACTGACTGAACTGAGGGCATTATCACCGTATTCAGTGGTGTGGCTTCTGAAGAATGCCTTGAGCTTAGTTAACAACAAGATAGCCCAGTCTCCAGAATCATGCAAAGGGCAGTAGGTATGTGTGTTGGGGGATGGGGGTCAGTTGAAAAAGAGGTAGATGACCAGCTTATCATTCCTTTATCACATGCAGCCTAGAGCTAAAAAGAATAAATAAATAAAAATAACAAGCAGCAACAGGGTGAGTAACTCTTTAAAAAGGAGCCATTTCTCCAGATTTAGTAGAACTGTGGATTGTTAGTTGAAGATAGAGCCTGGGAGTATATGATAAATATATTCTCAGTCCTCTGCCTCCTTCTACCCCAATAAACCCTAATGGGGAAGCATACCAGCCTTACTCTGAAGAGATTTCTAGGGCTCCTGCTGCAGTTTACCCTTACATTCTATTCTGAATCCTCACAAGGCTTTGTTTATTATTATTAGTGTTATTATTATATTTATTTTATGTGTTTAAGTGTATTACCTGCATGCATATAAGTGTACCTGTGTTGTGCAATGCCCACGGAGGTCAGAAGAGGGTATGGGAGGATCCCCTGGAGCTGGAGTTACAGCCGGTTGTTAGCTGCCATGTGGGTGCTGGGAACTGAATTCAGGTACTCTGCAAGAGCAGCCAGTGCTCTTAACCACTGAGCCATCTCTCCAGCCTGCCTCACAAGGTTTTGTGAGGAAGGCAAAGCTGGTTCCCAGTGATCCATGTGCAGAACAGTGTCTGTTAGTGCTGACTCTCCTTTTTTCTTTCACGCTGGCACCTGACAGAGTGTGGGAACTACTGCCTCAATAGTAAGTACAGTAAGTCCTGAGAGAGACGGAACCGCCTGGGCCCCTGCCAGAGCTTCCCAGGGCAGCTCTAGCCACACCAGGGGCACAGTGCAGCCAAGCACAAGGAGAGGGAATCTGGAATGATTTGGGGTGGGCATCAGATACATCAGTCAGGGTGGGGTCCTAGAGTGTAGGCCCCCAAGTTGCTTATCTCCTAACTGGGTCTCAGAGAGTGCTGAGCTGGGAGTCTAGCCAGCAGCTGGACTTGGCTCCCACAGACAGATGCCTCCTGAGGCTCTGTTTGCAGAGCTGATGTGTGACAAACACATCCTGACTGTTTCAAGGAGTCCAGGAGAATGATGGCTGCTGGCCACAAGCCCACAGGCAGGGCCAACAACAGCAGGGGTGGGCCCTGGCTGTACCTCTCTCACCCTAGAGTCAACAGAGTCCACTGGGACCTCCCTAGTTATATCTAGTCCCTGGTTGGACTCCTATGTCAGTCAGCTTGGGCATTTTCCTCCCGCTCCTTTTTCAGCACAATTCCTGAGATGAGGGGCCAAAGTTTCCCAAAGTTTCCCCTCTACCCAAAGTTTCCCCTGCCTCCTCCTCCTCCTGTTCTTCCTCCTCCTGCTCTTCTTCTTCTTGCTCCTCCTCCTCTTCCTCCTCCTTCTCTTCCTCCTCACTACCACCTTGCACTGTCCCTTTTCCCTTCTCACTGCTGCTCCTAGCCCTGGGGCTTATTCCTCCCTCTCTGTTTCCCCTTCTTTGCTTTCCCAGTTTACCTGCCTTTCCTTTCCTTGACCAGTGACTGTCTGTCCACTAACCTGCTAACCACTAACCTACAGGAACTTAAACTTGGGGTTTCAATGTGATGAGGTTCTCTGTCTCTCTCTATTCCTGTCTCTGGTTCTCTTTTGATATTTAAAAGTTAAATTTAGATGCTCCCCATTGTTCATGGCATCAAATAGTCATATATTTCATATATTTTCTCCCCCCCGCCCCAGCCTGGGTATGGAGACTCTTGTGCAATGTCTTCTTTGTGTCAACCATGTGTTTCCTAGAAGCTATAATCATTTCATAAGCTGGTTTATTCTCTCATTTTGCACATGTGTTTGAATATGAGATTGATCCTACTTTAATTTCTTTAAACTTTTATTTCTATATCTTTCCAAAGAGGAAGGAGATAGTTCTGGTATCCCCCTAGCAGAAATCCCCTCACCACATCCCAGTTTATGGCACACACATGCCTGCTTAACCTGTTCTTTTGAGTATATGAAAGGGTGATTCCTCAGGAAAGCCTGATGATAAGAAGGTAGGGGGAAGGAAATCCATATCTAAAATACTGGAAAGTAAATGGGGTGTGGGCAGGAGCTAGAATGAAGGAGAGCCATTCTGGTTCATGGTCTGTGGCTCTCTTAGCTGAAGATCTTGAGCAAATCCTTGACATTTTCTGGGTCTTGTTTCTCTCTTCCTTGAAATGCGAATAGCCAGGCCTGCTCCACACTTGGGGTAAAGGCCTTGTGAAATTTCACACAGGAGGAGATATCTAAAAGACTCAAAAGCTCATCCACTACACTTCCCAACCTCTCCACATCAGAGCTGGAGGGGTTCAGATCAATGATCCTTAAATAGAGACACTCTACTGGGCCCTTGTTTAGAGATTCCTTTCTCTGCCTCCTTTGGCAAATGTCTGGGGTTATCCCTAGTTGCTCTCCACATGGCTCAGGCTCTACTCTGGCTTCCAAGAATCACTGGGAACAATTCAAATTTCAGCACATTGCAAGGCCTTCTCAGCAGTGCCAAGGCCAGTGACAGTGACCGCCAGCCCCCGGGGAGGGAAAAGAGGGGACAAGTCACTACCAGGCCACTGGGCCAGGCTGCCCTGAGCCTGGCCAAGCACTCACACAGACAAGTTGTCAAATGTCACATTTTCACAGATGGCTTTCTTGGTATGTCCATGCCACGTGTGTGAGAGCAGAGGTCAAGAGGGCCACATGCCACATAACCTCCATTTTCTGTTCTATCTCAGCCATCACAGAAGCCATCGAGATCCCACAATTTATTGGCCGCAGTTACCTGATGTATGACAATCCAGAGATCCTCAAGAGGTAATGGGCCAGCTCATCAGCTTGCTGATTAACCTGGATGTCAGTTTCTCAATATCATTCCCAGAGTTTTTCCTTATCTTTCATGCCAGAAGATAATTTTCTCATGGTGGCGGGGGGGCATGAAATAAACATAGAAACAAGAACAAAATTAAACAAATAAACTAAACTTGAAGACATCAGTCTTTCAAACAGCCCCATTATAAGCACTTCCAACCCTTTCTGGTCATAGGGCTTGAAGAATAATGTGACCTGGCCCTGAGGTTTCCAGTGTTCCAGTTTGAGAGGGAGAAGGAATTGGATGGTCCTGAACCTGGTGTTCTGGATGTTATTCCCCTGAGCAAGGCCCCTTAGCTGTGTGCTGTTCTATGCTACAGCCTGTTGCTCTGCTCAGGGCCAGCTGCAGAAAGACTCAGCTGCTCCCAATCAGATAGTTCTAACTCCTGCCGGGCTACTCAGTACTTACAGTGCATCTTCATCAACAAAGGTCCACCGTTTTGAGGTCCTGGCCAGTGCAGTGAAGACTGCTCATCTCTCTTCATGAGCACACATGAGCATTGCACAGAAGATGCCCAAGTTACAGCCACAGCTTTCTCTCCCTGGAGGCAGGACTGAACTAAAGTTTTGAGCAGCTGAATGTGTGGCAAGGAGCGAGGTTGACCCTTGGGGAACTCCTCCATTCAGCCAAGCATTTAGTCATGGCACCTTCAATTTGTCCCTTTTGCCTTGATCCTTTGCCATTTATAATGTGCATCACCTTTCAATCCCAGCATAGCTGTCCCTTTTAGATGAGGCCCATGCTAACAAATGAAGGCAAATCTTCAAGCTAAAGGCATCCAGTTGTTTGGACAGAACTTGGGGTTTTGAGAAGAAAAATGATTGAGATAATTTTCAGAGGCATTTGGATGTCTGTGGTAACTGAAGGCACACCAAACAGACCCTGCCTCACTTCTCTAATCCCAGCTTGTGTTTGTTGTCTTGGCATGAGGACATAGGTGAAATGCATTCCCAGCCAAGAGACAGCTCCCTTCTTTGGCCCTTTTCCTTCCAAAGACAGAAGGTCATTCAGACCCCAAGAAGCAGAGAATTATAGAAGGGGTCTTCAGCCTCTAGCACATAGCCAGAAGCCACCAGTAGTTAAGGGGAGCTACAGCTGTGGTGGCAGTAGGAGATGGAGAGGCTACCCCAAACAGAGAAACTCTGCTGGGGTCCATGTGTCTGCATGAATTTGTAGGCCCATGTACATATCTGTGATGCTGTACACATGGAAGTGAAGTTCATGATCACTTTCCATTTGATGCCTTCAGAGGGGAGATCAAATAATACAACTCTTAGCTTAAAATATCCTGAACAGAAAGAGTATTTAGTATTTCATATAAAAAGTTCAGACTTCAGTTGGGATTATTAATCCAGAGAATCGGCTGTCTCATCAAGGACCCAAATCTCATCTTTATGCCTGCAGTGTTATCTCCTAGCTGCCCATATGATGCTCGTGGGATAGTTATCAAATTGGACAATGTCCAGTGGGTTAAAAAAAAAAAAAAGACTTTTCCTAGAATCCTCCTGGTGAACTAGACAATGAGTCGTATGTCCACTTTTAAACCCGTCACTGATAAGAGAAACAGAAACAGGTAGAGTGGTTCATGGCAATCAATATTGCCAAGAGATAGAAGGAGCATGGAATCAAAGTTAGGATCGAGAAGGCTCCTTAGAAATGGGCCAGGGTTGGATTGCCTATACCTACCTAGTCTGATGAGCCTCACTTCCCCTCACCACTCTTGTATGAGGAAGGTAAGCTTGGTGCCTTCCTGTCTAAATCAAGCTGTGGCAAGTCTAGACAGAAGTCCTTCAGCATCTGCTACTGAATACACGGTACAGCTCCAGACCTAATAATGAGGGAGACAGAGGGATGGTACCAGTGACAGGAGAATGGAAAGAGAGAGACTTTTCTAATAGTGTCATGATAATGGAAATGGTAAATTATGTTTCCTCCTGTCTTACCTTTCATTTGAGGCTCTCAGGCTACACCAGATGAAATACTGATCACTCTAGTCAGATGAAATTCTGAACCAGTCTGTTCATAGGAACTGATAGGAGCATAGACGCCTGAGAGCCCTTTCCCAGACATGCACACAATGTGGAGCCATCCTGCCTGACTCCTGCTGTCCTCATAGCTTCCTATGCTCTCTATTGGGACTCTGTCACAGTACCCCTCCAGACCAATAGCCATCCCATCAAGTCACCTTCCTTAAGACCCCAGGCTTTGTTCAGTCACCCTGTCCAGATTTGCCCCAAGGTCAGTCACTGCTTCCTGTGCTGGTGTTCTACTGCCAGGATCACAGCCCAGAGAAGCTGCCAATGGGAGCTTGTGGCAATTAGGAAGCCCGTTTTCTTCTGCGGAGTGAGAAGCACCTTCCCTAGAGCCACTGAGTAATAGGATAGGAACAGAGAAAGATGGGTGCATAAACCCCCACCCTAGAACTGTGACATTGGCCACAATCTTGCTCTGTAAGTGTTCCCTTGTAGAGTCACCATACCAGGGCGGAAACACTGCTGTCTAGTGAGCACCTAGAACTTTTGACGGGCACTGCAACTTGTAGGGGTGATGGTCCTTGTAGTCCCCTGGCATGTATAGGTGCAGAGAGGCCAGATTATCTCTACACCTGGTTGCTCAGGGCTGGCAAGAAAGGATGACACAGAAACAGATGATAGTGATTGATTTAATGGACTTGTTTGTGTGCTTCCTCTAGGGTGTCAGGATCGAGATCAAATGCATTCATGAGGTTTAGGACTACTGCCAAGGACGGCTTGTTGCTGTGGAGGGGAGATAGCCCCATGAGACCCAACAGTGACTTCATTTCTCTAGGCCTTCGGGATGGAGCCCTGGTGTTCAGGTAACTCCCTCCCTAGATGTAACAGCATCTTGAAGTTTTTCTCAAATAGTGTGGATTGTGCTGAATAGAAATGCAAAAATCAGCACAAGCACACTGCTGGAGTTGGCTGGAGCCTGAAGCTCCATTTGAGGCTCCTAGTCTTATCTAGCATCAATGCTATTGAACAACAGTGATATCTATGCCTGCAGGGCAAATCTGGCCCACTTCTCATTTCTATCAATAAAGTTTTATTGAAATATAGCCATACTCATTCATCTGAATGTTGCTTCTGACAATGTCGAGGCAACTGTGGCACACTGGAGCAGTTTTAAAGAGAATTGTACTAAAGTATAGTAAAGCCTCAGTGTTTACCATCTGGCCCTTTGCAGAACAATTCTATTTCCCCTGGTCTAGTGTGTTACTGTTGTTATGAAACCCCACTTGCAGACCAGAAGCCATGGAAACCATACTTGCCAGCTCAGGAAGAGCTGAAGATCTGAACTCCAGGAGCCTTGACTTTAAGTTCCATCTGCTTTCCCTTAGCTCTATGGCCTTGGGGAACATGCCGCTCTGTTACAAGGAGAGTGAAGCACAGATCCCTGTTTGCACAGAACAAACCACCACTGGGATCTTTGCAAATCTTGGGTGGAACTAATGAGGCAGTCCCAGAAGTTGGGGTTTTTTGTTTTTTGTTTTTAGATAGGATCTCATCATGTAGCTCTAGTTGGTCTAGAATTCACTGTGTAGACCAGGCTAACCTGGAACTCACAGAGATCCACCTGCCTCTGCACCCCAAGTGCTGGGAATAGAAGCATTCACCACCACATCTAGCAGCTCTTTTTAAAAGTGAGTTTAGATTGCTCTCTCAAATGGATGGCTATACGTTAAGAATTGCCTCAATACCTTCTCCCTACTCATCTTCTTCCCAAAATGAATGAGAGCTGAATTTCTATAGAGCAAGGATTTTCTTGTTAAATATGAAAAACTAGGCCAACAAGCTGGCTCAGAAGGTAGAAGGTAAAAAAAAAAAAAAAAAAAATTAGGTAGAAGGTACTTACCAACAGCCTAAAGACAGTTAAATCTCTAGAAGCCATGTGGTGGAAGGAAAGTCAACTCCGGAGGTTATCCTCTGATCTTCATGCACATGCCATGCAAATACACCCACACCCCATCCTTACCCCACACATATGTAAAATAGTAGGTTAGAAATGCTTGTCTAGACCTTTGAGTCTTAAAGTGTGGGCTCTGCACTACCACAGCAACAGCAGCTCTTGGGAACCTTTTAGAAATGTAAATTCTCAGACTCCACCCCTGACCTCCCGGCCTAGCAAGCTGTATTGTGACTGTTTCCCCATGTGATTGAATTGCTGGCAAAGGGTTGAGGACCCCCGCTCCGGCTCTGAGCCTTTGGCCCCAAGGGGTAGGTATTTGTTGAGCTTTTACTCTTTTATCCCCAGCCTCACACACACTCTGGTGACAACCCCAAGTATTCAATAAGTGATAAGAAATTAATCAGTATTGAATTAGAAAAGGAGAGACACAGTGGAAACTTAATTCTGAGGCTTGTGTCAATTATGTGCTGGGATTACTGGGATTACTGGCAGCTGGGAAAGGATAACATGAATCTATTCACTTTGAAGAAAAAGCATTTTGAGAGGAAATGTCACTCCTCTAACATCCCACCTGCTCCTAAATAGCAGAGCTTGCTCCATGATTCAGTCTTGTGATGGGAGACTTTAGAGTGGTATGTAACTTAAGAGCAGACTGACAGACAAGGGACAGCTCCTCACCAACTCTGACTTCTCCCCTGACTTCTGACTACACCATGACCCCCAACTTCCTGTTGGCCCCAAGGTCAGATGTGGATCTTTTCCCGGTTGCCCCAAAGCTATTTCTCTGTGGTTTTCCTGTGGTTAACCTCATGCAGGCCTCAAGTACTTGATTTTGCCCAGAAAAGGGAAGTGAAACAGTTGGTGGATGGGGTGGTCCAATTCCCCCTCAACTGTCAGCTGAATCCTATACAGAGGGACCTGAGAAGCCTGGCCACTGGCTCCCACCAACTCATCTCTCCAGGCCCTTGACGAACCCCCGCCAGCCTCCCCTCTCTCTTACTGTCCTCACAGCTTGCTCCAGCTGACTCTGTTTTAGGTTGCTGTTTCTTTATTGAGTTGCTGAAAGTTGTCCCTCTTTTAATGCTACAGTTTTGGTTGTGTTCCGTGTAAGACACACTGCCCAGTCCAGTCCGAGGTGGAATTGGTACCCACACCTAGAGTCACTCATTGCTGCTCTCTGGGTACTTCTATCTGGGAAGTTACCCCACCCCATTCATCCATCCAATACAGATGTATAAAAGGGTTAAGCTGGCTAGGGGCAGACGGGATTATGATGTAGGCAGATGGTATAAAAATCTCAGCATGCAATATCATCATACTGGGGAGCTTGTGTCAAAGGTAGATTCCTGGTCCTGTCCATCCTCAGGTTCTGATGAAGTAAGTGCAGCTAACTACTGGGATCTTATTGACAACAAGCAGCCCAAGTAGTTCCAGAAACCATACCCTGAGAAACAGGGTTTGAAGTGGCTTCAGGGTTCAACATGCTTGATCCCCAATGGCTGTGTGGTCTCATGGGAGTTGCCTAAATTCTCTCTGTTTCTGTTCCCTCATCTGTAAAAGGAAGCAGCTGGTTGTGAGGATTAAATGAATTCATTCATGTAGAAGACTGAGTGCAGGGTCAGGCATAGCCCATTATTAGTGATAATGAGAATATAAATCTTCATCAAGTGTTTTTTAAACTCCAGAATCCCCTACTTCAGTAAGATAACAGAAGCAAGAAAGTTAGCCACACATGACTTTGTAAAATTTAGTCATTGCTGTTACTGTTATTTTTCATAAGATCCTAACCCAGGCAGGAGAGGTGTGGTGATGGCACACACCTGTAATCTCAGCACTCTAGGTATGAAGACAAGAAGGTTTGGACAGGAATTCAGTGCCATTCTTGGCTATATAATGAGTTCCAGGTCAATGTGGGCTAATTAAGACCCTGGGTTTTTTTTTGTTTTTGTTTTTGTTTTTGTTTTGTTTTTTTGATAAAAAAATTTAAAAGCAGAACAAAACAAGATCCTGGCCTTGAGGAGTTTGCATCAGTGGAGCCTAGATAAACTGTTCTCCAAAGTGGACAACTCTTACAGTTGCAGAGTTTAAGCCAACACAAATAGAAGAGAAATCCTGAGATAACAAGATGTACTCTAACTTTCTAGACTCTCCTCCCTCACCAAAATGCAGGTCATTTTGGTAACCTGTCACTGAAAATCCTGTCAGAGAACAGGACAGAGCAATGGAGCTCTTGAACAGAAACATTCTTAGTTTTGGTACAAGGTTTGAATCAAAAGAAAACAATCAAAATGCTCATCTAAAATCAGTGGATTTTTAATTTGATTTTATTTTGTTTTGTCATATGTAGAGCATAAAACCAATAAGGCAGATGTGTGAATCTTGCTTAACTGACATTCTTTCCCACTAATTATTTATTTATTTATTTATTTTAGTAATTTATTGAGAATTTCATACAGGAATATAAGCATATAAGGAGTTCTGATCAAATCCATGCCAAGTCCCTCCCCTCCAACTTCTTCCATATCTCCCCATTATTTTTTCTGATAACTTCATATATTCTTTCTTTTTTTTTTTTGTCTTTTTGAAGCAGGGTCTTCCTGTAGCCCCAGCTGTCCTGGAATTCACTATGTAGACCAGGCTGGCCTTGAACTCACAGAGATCTGCCTGCCTCTGCCTCCAGAGTGCTGGGACTACAGGTGTGCGCCACCACACCCAGCTCTTCCTTTTTTTTTTAATGGGACTTTTTGCTACTCTAACATTCCCCCCTCTAAAGAGGTAACCCTAAAATCTTTTAAGGATTAGATAAGAGCTCCCAAATATTTTCAACATTTTTGGCCTTTGGAACAGAGTATGTTGCTAACAGGCCCAAGGACATTTTGACTTTTAGCCAAGAAACTGGCTCGTTTTCTTTGGGGTCTTTTTACCCTAACTGCCTAGCCAATTCTTACCTCCTATTCTTATCACATCATTCTCTGAAGAGGTTACCCAACTTTCGGATAGGGAATAGGGACGCAGACCGCTCTGGCTTCTTCCATGCTGAACAGGGATGCAGGGTGAGGCAATTTGGTTACCCCTTCAGTGGGTCTATGTAAAAGACTCCCAAATTGCATAGCTTTTATCTGTAGGGGGCTTTCCCACTAATTTTGACCTCGGAGTATTTCAGACCACTGACAAAAGGCAGAGATCTAACATTAGTAAAGTGCTCTGTACCAAGGTGTAGAGGGGATAGCACTAAGTATCACCCCTTGAAAACATGAAGGTGAGCAAGTAGTTTCCAAGGACCTCAACTCAGTGCCACTTTCTGGTAGCCCATGTTGGTGCCCAGCTTCTCATTCTTTGATGCACACCAAGCCAGATGGTTCAGGATAACCCATTCCTAGTACCAAGAGTTAGAGAGCATAGAAACTAGCAGGCATTCGTTCATTTGCTTTTGCATTTTGATGTTAAAGTTCAACCTATGTGAATTACATACTTTCTCAGTGGACAACTTGATAAACTTTAAAATATGTAGAGCCTGGTGTGGCATGCCTATAATCCTGATACTTGAGAGGTAGAAGCAGGAAGATCAGAAGTTCAAGGCCAGCCTCAGCTACACAGTAAGTTTGAGGCCAACCAGAGGACATGAGACCTTGTCTCATACAAACAGACAGACAGACAAAAAGTGTTATAGGTAAATGCTGTATCACTGTACTATAAAGCAAATATTCTGGGGGGAGTATGAGGGGGTAGTTATTTGCAGGGTCTGAAATTACAGAGCCAGGGCTGGAAAGTCAGGTCATGGAGAGACCAATTGAGTTTCTCCACCTACATGATGGCAGAATTTCTGTCTGCTGGACTCTGTACTGACTCCCTTGGTCATTTTCTGTCCCTTTGAGTAGTCAAGAGTGCTTCATAAGAGACTGAAGCCCACACTTGCTCTTTCTGGGTGTAATATCGTAGAAAAGGCTCTATTCACAGACATACTGGCACACTCAGGTCTGTCTGTCCTCCCTGAAGTTATAATCGGATTACCTTGATTCTGAGACCTGGGAGCTCCTGACATTTTAGTTATGTTTACCACTGTGGGTTCACTCCCACACATGGCTCCTCTCCAAGAAGAGGCCACACTGAAAGTAACTCATTGGGGGGCATTGTCAACCCTGCATTCAAATTGTACCAAGTACCACATGCATTTGCTATGGTGTCATTATTTTTCTTTGCTCTTACTATGTTCTGTGTTAGTTAACCTTGTCTATGGTCCTGCAGGGAAGGTATCTAACCTACATTTGACAGAAGAGGACACTGATTCAGGAGTATGAACGAAGCAGATCACCCAAGGTCACAGAGCTTATATATTAACAAAAGTGGGAGAACCGGGCAGGTCTGTGGAACCTGAGTGTCCACACCCTGTCACCCACGCCGCCTCTCAGAAAAGCCACAGAGAGTAGCTCAGCTAAGCTCCTAGCCCTACTTCATGTGCATTCTTTTTAAATAATTTTTTATTACATTTATTAATTGATTGATGGGGTCTGGGGGAGTGTGTATGCCACTGTACACGTGTGGAGGTCAGAGTGCATCTTGTGAAAGCCAGTGCTCTCCTTCTACCATGTGGGTTCCAGGAACTGACTCAGGTCATCAGACTTGGTGTCAAGTGCCTGTATCTTCCTGAGCCGTCTCACCAGCTAATGTTCATTCTTTTCTTTAATGAGCTTTGGGGCTATCACATGTAGATTCTGAAAAATCCCACCTTCTGCCTGTTTTACACAAGGAAACTCAATGTGGGAAAATGGGCTAGGAAGCAGTGGAGTTCTCAGGGTCAGAGTGGCAGTTTTGTCCCATGGTTTGTCAAGCCATTACAAGTTCTATTCTTGGTTCAGTGTCGTAGCTGTGTTGTTTCTTTGAGACTCCTTCATGAAAAGAACGAGCTATGCAGCTTTCTCTGGGGAAAGCCAAGTGCTTTCTATTCTCACTCTGTTCTCAGAACAAGGGCTGCAAGTGCTACAGAAGGAGCCAAGGTTTCCTCCCAGCATTCCTCTCTTCCCTACAGAGATTAGAAGAGCGTCACTGCCCCTTACACAATGAGGGGAGAGCTATCCCTCTGGAACCCACTCTTTGGAGGTCTGACACATAGGCTGATTGTGTTATCTGGAGAAGGTCTAGGCAGTTGGCCTCCTGCCAAGGCTAGCATAGCCACTCACTATATATTTGTTGGATTGAATTAAATTAGAATAATTGGATGAACTGTGGATTAAGAGGGCTATTTCTCCCTGGTAAACATGCCCCTGTCTTCTGACTCAAGGTATCTAGGGATTGATGTAGTAAATTGGATGCGAGGAAGGGGGTCTGATGTCAGAGTAAAGCAGAGCAGGGAACAGACAGTACACCGAGTTCAGGTTCTACACATTACTCTTGTGATTTTAGGAAGGTTCTCTTCACCTCTTTGAAGCTCAGCCTACTCTACAATGTTGTGTTGTTGTTTGAAGTGAACACACGTATATGAGTTTTCCTAGGACTTCTGTAATAGGTTGCCATGAATTTTACAACAATAAAAAACACCATTCTCTCATAGTTCTAGAGACTAGAAATCTAAAATGTGACATGCTGCCAGAGCTGGTTCCTTTTCAGTGACTGCGGGAGGTTCTGTTGTGTGTTTGTGTCTGAGGTTCTAATGCTGCTCGCAATCCTTGTTTCTAGCTCACAGATGCATAGTTCTAGGCTCTGACTTCATCATCACATGGCCTTCTACCCCGTGTGTCTGTGTCCATGTGTACAAATTTCTTCTTATAAGAATACAAGTCATGGGGCTGGAGAGATGGCTCAGCGGTTAAGACCACTGACTGTTCTTGCACCAGGGTTTGATTCCCAGCACCCACATGGCAGCTAACAACCATCTGTAACTGCAGTTCCAGGATCTGACACCCTCTTCTGACCTCCAAGAGCATTGCACGACACAGGTGCACTTACACACATGCAAGCAATATACTCATACATATAAAATAAAAATAATAAATAAGGGCTGGAGAGATGGCTCAGCAGTTGAGAGCACTGACTGCTCTTGCAGAAGACCCGGGTTCAATTCCCAGCGCCCACATGGCGGCTAAGAACCCTCCTTAACTCCAGTTCCAGGGAAATCTGAAGCCCTCTTCTGACCTCCGTGGCATTGCACAACACAGGTGCACTCACATGCATGCAGGCAATATGCTCGTACACATAAAA